CTTATATTAGGTGGGAGAGTCTATTAACTATAGAATAGGGGTGTTTCACCATAACACACACACACACACACACACACACACACACACACACACACACGTGTTTCTCTAATTCGTCTTTCTTATTGCCAGAAAAAGTTTAAACTTGTTTTTATCTTGGTTGCTACGATTACAACGTTTCAGTTCTTGTACCGGTGGTTTTCGTCAGGCGCTGGTCGTGTTTTGTAAAGCTCCTAGAAAATTCGAACCAAGCACTTCTTTAAGATGGGTTTTGTTTATATTCGACTGTCTGTTTCAATATTTGTTCATTTTTTTCTCGTTGTGTCATGCTTGTGATGCTGTGTTTTTCTGTTCTACTGAACCAGAGTATAACAATTCCACTACCCGACACAGAGATTGAACGCTATTGCATTCAGCTTTATCAACGTTTATATCCGCGGAGAGGTTTCTCTTTTTGGATAAACAGGTAATGAAATGCTGCAATCTGAAAAAAAAAATTCTGTCTGAAGTTCTAAGAACAGGAATTACCATTATCGATATTATTTGTATTCGGTATTCACATAGGATTGTGAGTTCAAGACTCGTTGGAAACATGAGGGATTTGCTTTTTACGCTTGTCAACCCTTTGTAGGTTATTTAAATCCGAAACAGATGTTGAGTTGTAAGAATAATTCTTTTATTTTTTGCAAGTGAATATTGGATTAACAATTTTTTAGGTAAAAGTCTTGCTATTTAACCTATGTCTGGGGGGAAAGAGGTGGATTCATATCGCTCGCAAAGGTATTGGCGGGAAGTGAATATAACAAACACGACTAGAATTCGAACTTTGGTTTCCACAGTAGTAACAGGACAAGTAAAAAATTGTGCAGTACTAGAAAAGAATAAGCTGAGTAATTTCCTGAAGGTTACCTGGATTGACAGACACCTAAAAAAGGTCGGAGAGCCCATCGGTCAAAATGTTGTGAAAGCAACAACAAACATGGGAGCATTAATCTAATGGATAACAGAATAGGGAAAACCAAGTGCCAATTTGAATTGGGATTGCATATTCATGGGGCGATATATATATATATATATATATATATATATATATATATATAGTGTTGTCCGGAATAACATTAAAATGAGGCAAAAATGAGAATAACACTGACATCTCATTTTAACAGATATATTTACCAAAATTACCAAAAATATTTTGAAATAGTAAAGAGTAAATTTATTCAATAAAATCGCCATTGGTTTCAACCTCATCCTTGAGATGACTTCGGAATCACCTGCAACTCTTCTGGATAGTCTCCATGTTTATGTCGGTCAATGCTGCAAGGATTACCTTGCCTTCAGTTCATCCTTGGTGTTACAAGGAGTTTTGTTGTTCTCTCAACTGCACCCCACACATAATAATCAAGGGCTTTGCAGTCTGGGGAGTTATGTGGCCAGATATAAGGGCTGATGTGGTTACAGAAATTGTCTGACAGCCATGACTGGGTAATCCTGCTTGGGTGGCATGGTGCAGAATCCTGTTGCCAGACATTGGGTCTTCTAGCAAACAATTTCTTGACCCAGGGCAGGATTTATCTCCTCAAGGTTCTTGATGTAGGTCTGTGGGAAGATGAATGGAGGCATAACGTCGCCATCACCCTAAACACTATGATGCTGACTGGATATCTCACCAAACTCTTTCCGAACCCTCTGCACTATCCACAGATTGACACCCTGACACTCTAAAATGTTCGTATCGGGGCTTCCGGAGCGAATGCCAAGCAGTACAGTATACCGTTTCCCAATTTCTGGCGTCATTGTGCCCAACTGACCCTACTATACTGTGCAGTCGGCAAAATCGAAACAAACAACGCGCATGCGCGAAATTAAAAATATAAAATGGCGATAATTTACCACTCGCACCCTGTATATGATAATAACGAATCTAATTATATAGTAATTTGAACCATCTAAGATATATTAAAATAGAAAAAAATATTGAAAATCCACTTACACTGTTGCTTGAACCGTCTAAATCTTTAAAAAAATATTTTTGTGTTTATTTAACATCTGAATAAAAAGAAACAGTTCTTCAAAAGTGTCCATCTGCAAAATGAAAACGAGGCAACAATCCAAAAGACATAATACCGGACGTTACAACAGTTTTGTTTGAGTTTCTATATATCAGTACTTTTTAATTAAAAGTGCATGTCTATATATAGTGAATTGGTTTTGGGACACTGCCACAGCTAAGGTTGTTGAATTGACAATTCTCTCGGATACAGAAGCCATAAAACATAAACAGTGAGAGTAAAGATGTGAAAGGATAAAAGAAAGAGAAGATAGGAAAGAGAAAGAAAGAGAAAAGAACGGAAGGTCGATAAAAAATGTAAAAACAAAACGAAGTGAAAAACACAATCAAAAAAGCATGTAGACTGCCGTAAGGAGATTGTGGGGATCGAAGAAGCTGATATAAAACTGACACAGGATGGTTAAGTGTCAGAAAATGGCACTATTTATGAAGCGAGGAAAAGGTACGAGAAACAGACAAGTAAAACAGAGAAATATCATTAGAGGATCTATGGACAGAAAGTCAACTTCTATAAGTAAAATCAACATGTTTTGAATATTTTTGTTTTTCTTCTTTCATGTGACGTATCCCTTCAGGATATTGGCGATCAATCTTATCCTTAGCACCCTTGGAGAACATTGGTCCAATTACTATCCCTGGATAAAGATATGGTCATATATATATATATATATATATATATATATATATATATATATATATATATATATATATGTATGTATGTGTGTGTGTATGTGTGTGTGGGGCAAACACACAAGGCACATACGCACACATATAGATAGATGTGTATTGTAAATGCTTCGCTCTCTCTCTCTCTCTCTCTCTCTCTCTCTATATATATATATATATATATATATATATGCACACACACACACATATATATATATACAGAGAGAGAGAGAGAGAGAGAGTTGAGCTCTCATCGTGTTTATATCAATCTACTTTTAAATACATCCTGTCTATCTATCTATCTATCTATCTCATGTTTATATAAATCTTTCTATTCATCATTTTTATCACTCTCTCTCTCTATTTCTCTCTCAATCTCCCTCTCTCTCTCTCCCTCTCTCTCTCTCTCTATATATATATATATATATATATATAGTTTTCCTGGAATGTTTATGCCGAATTTAAGGAAAATTAAAACACAAAACTCATTACGGTGTTTTTTTTTTCATGTCCTCCAAAGAATTAAAATTTTTACGCCTGAGATTATTTTGCGAAGACCTGAATAAATGAAAATCCGAAGGACCAATTCCTGGTTAATATGGCGGGTGATGTAACACATCTCAGCGAAGCTGCAACAATTTTTGCAGAGTCGCTAAAGAAACGTGTTGTCTGGCAGTCTCCTGATGGAAAACAACACCTTTACTGTTCGCCAGTTCTGGTCGTTTTTCTTGAATTGTTGCCTTTAATATTTCCAGTTGCGTGGAGTAATTTTCAGAATCAATTGACTGGTTACTTAGCAGAAACTCATAGTAGAGGATTCTTTTCCAATCCCGCCAAATGCACAGCATGACATTCTTTGGATGAAGACCAAATTTTGAGGTGCCTAAAGTTGGCTCAGGTCGTTCACCCAGGATCTTTTTCACTGAAAATTCACACACACACACACACACACACACATATATATATATATATATATATATATATATATATATATATATAAAACCTAGTGAGCCAGACAAACCATTAGGTTTATCTAGGTCTGCTCTACGGTTGTATTTTAGTTAGTTGTTTACTCGTGTCGGGGATTTTTATTTCGGCTTTAAACCTGTATCTGTGCGATTTTTTTTTCGACAGACTTTCATGTTTCTAGCTCTTTCTTTTTTTAAATTTTTTTCTTCGTGATTGATTTGATTATTGGCAAATCAAAAATTCGAAGGTTTTTCGAAATATATATATATATATATATATATATATATATATATATATATATATATATATATATATATATATATATATATATCATTGTTTCTTCCTTCCCTCATTCCTTCAGTATGTCTGTGAATTTTCTCCATGTCATCTTTCCTGATTATGGGTCCTAGAAATTCCAGTCGCCTCTTTCTTGTCATTTTTGTTTCTTTAAAATTCCTCGTTGTTCACATACTCCATACGTGGTATTCTCTGCATCTTACTGTAGAACCGCATTTCTATTACCTCAAGTGTTCAATTAATCTATGAAGAAATTGTCCGGCATTCATAGTCACAGAAATACTGATATTATGTAATAGCTGACCTCTTTTTTGTTTCTTTCCTATAAACTTTTCTTCTTCAAGCGCATAGTGTTGGCAAGAGCGAGTGCAAGGATCGATCGATAGATCGATTGAAAGATAGATATATATCAACAGGATGAATAGAGAGATAGATTGACATCAACATGATCGATATATAGATAGATATTAACAGGGCAATATCACTATCTTTCTTTCTTTCTTTCTTTCTTTCTTTCTTTCTTTCTTTCTTTCTTTCTTTCTTTCTATCTATCTCTCTCTATATATGTGTTTGCATATATATATATATTTTTTTTTTTTAGCTGGAAACAAGAAGGAAATAGAAAAACTGGGATCACACGAAAAGTCTCTTCACACACATAAGTAGACCGGTTATGACGTAGTGATTTTCCAAGAGTAGCTCAGATGTGGCACAAGGCCGAAAGTATGGGGTACCCAGTGAGGATCGAACTCACTATTCAGTCGTTATAGTTCTAGCGAGACAAGCTTGCTTACCATTACACCACCTCGAGGGGTCCAGACCGGTTATGACGTAATGTTTATGTGAAGTTGTGATCAGCTATATATGATCTGCGTAGTGTTTTCTTTAGAAAGGGGCGGAAGTGTATATTCGTTGATTCTGTGTCGGATTTCCTGTCTGGTGCAATCTGCTCTGTTGAGGTTGATGCGATTTAGTAACGGCTCCGTCAATAATAGAACTACTACGGATTGATAGCGCTGCGGTGCAGAGAGATGCTGCTGGGGCGCTGCTGAGACATGACATTGGTGGCAGCGATTAGCTCCGGTGACCGCGGCGCAGCCGTTCCGTGGCGCTTGGAAATATTGGCGAATGCGCCACCTAGTGGGATGCTAGGCATTACAGGACAAGGTCAAATGAACGCAGTCATAATTCTATCAGTCTTCGGTGGGACGGGTTAAAAGCCCAACAGGCCAGACGTGGCCCGCGGGCCGTAGTTTGCCTACCTCTAGTCTAGAGAGAAGGCAGCTGTCGTAGAGCTGTAGTTTCAAGAGTCAGTCGTAGAGTGATAGTCTTGCAAATGAATGCTAGCAAGTGAGCTCGATTTTTTCTCGGTTCCTAGTTATTGTATCCTTGTGCCCAACTTTAAAAATTGTGAACAACGAGGAAGTTTTAACGACAATGGAAACGAAAATGACTCTTGTACTTAGAATCAGAAAGAGTCGAAATATCTGGGAGCCATAATGAGGAAAGATGGCATGGAGAAATGGAAACTCATAGTACATACTGAAGGAATGAGGGCAGAAAGAAACAAGGAACCCTCCTCCATATATATATATATATATATATATATATATATATATATATATATATATATATATATTGGATTGATGAGTGTGTGATCCTGGGTTTCACGCTATTTGCGATCGTCAGACAAACTGATTAATTTTTAAAATTTGGTTTTATATATGGTTGCGTATATCGGTGTTTTCATAGTAGTAGGAAGAAAAATTGTCGTCGGAACGCCACTTATACTTACGCAAACTTTCATACACGCACGTTCACTCATTGACGTGCGCGGACATACATACACGCACGCTCACTCATTGGAGTTCACACAAGCATAAACATCTGTGAACAGTGTGGGACTAGGCATATATGCGCATCCATGTGTCGTTGCGTACATACGTACGCATTTGGTCGCTGTATTCAATGTTGGATTGTGTAGCGAATATCTTTCGTCTGTTGCAGTGTCAACGCGCAGATCGTTCGTCTATTTTGTTTATTTCTCGCCCACACGTATGATGGTGTCTGTGTAAGACTATGGTAGGTAAAATTGCTATTATTTTTAATTTTTTAATGATGTTTTGTTATTATTTTAAAGCCGGTTATTTGCTGGGTTTGGCGATTGCGCATAGGTAAATGGTAGAAACTCCAATTTGTAACACATCTTAGTATTTATGCGGTCGTATTAATTTTGCTGGGGGAGGGAGAAGTAAGTATAATTATGGACTGATACGTTAATGGTAATTATGGTTCAGTAGTAATTGTGGACTAATGCGGCAATGGTAATTGTGATGCGGTAGTAATCGTGAGGGGAAGCGGGTGATGATAATAACAATTGCAGCAGCAAATAGTTATTGTAAAGTGGTAGAAGTTATTTTAGTAATGATCGTGGAATGGTAATAACAATAATTATAATTATTATGATGGTAGAAAATAATTGATGGTGTTATGGTATCAGTGGTTTCTCTTTTCATGTTCATGGGGTCAATGTTGGTTTATGTAATAGTGTTTGTGTTATAGTAGAACACACCTATTCTATCGTTAATAGACTCTCCCACCTATAATAAGTAGGAGTAGTAGGAGTCGCTCAGTCGCTCAGTCAGTCGACTGGCTGATCGGTTGAACTCTTTGCTTTCGGGCGGGGAGCAACCCGAAGGAGGCTACGCCGAAGGGCGGATTCTCTTTCAGGGAGGTAAACTGACCCTGAACCCGTTTATACGTGTTCAATGGGCATATTTTTGGCCGAGCCCACGGGTTCGGAGAGCCCACGTTAAAAAGGCCTTGTGCCACATGACGCCCTCGTGGGGGGGGTGAGTGAATATCGTCAGTCAGTCGACTGGCTGATCGGTTGAACTCTCTGCCTTTGGGCGAGGAGGAACCCGGAGGAGGCTACGCCGAAGGGCGGATTCTCTTTCGGGGAGGTAAACCGACCCTGAACCCGTTTTTACGGGTTCAATGGGCATATTTTTAGCCGAGCCCACGGGCTCGGAGTTCCCACGTTAAAAAGGCCTTGTGCCACATGACGCCCTCATGGGGGGGGGGGGGGTTGACTGAATATCGTCAGTCAGTCGATGCCGGACGACCGTTAGTCGGATACTAAAGTATCAGCGACCACTCTAGATTACTCTGCGTCATTACCTGTTATATCAAGTTCCTAACGTTTTGTACGTCGAACCTATTTTAGGACCGACTTAGTATAAATACAAGCCTCCACTGTGAAACTACTCCATAACAGTTTGTTGGGTTTTCCGGAAGGGTCATGCCGATTTTTACTCGTTCATGTTCCAACATGTTGGAACATGCCAAATTTATAGACATATGTTTACATTTCCGGATTAGAGAATAATTCAAACATATCTCTTGAGAAAGAAAGATGCAGAGAATGTTATTTAGTTTAGTTTCGGAAATGCTTTAATAAATACTTACCTAACAAAAATAAAGAGAAACAGAAATGAAAGAGAAAGAGAGAGAGAGAGAGAGAGAGAGAGAGAGAGAGAGAGAGAGAAATAGAATAACAAGGAAAACGTAATAGATGAAGACAAAAGAATAGGAGAAAATGAGTAAGAAACACCAATTAAACCAAAACAGACGAAGAAGAAAAGCTGCCTTAAGTCTCAAAGAGAGAGAGAGAGATAGAGTGGGGGGGATAGAGTGAAATAATTAAAGAGCTAATAAGGAAAGGCAAAAGGCGAAAGAATAAATGATAAATTGCGAATGAAACAAAAAAAGAAGAAAAACAGACAGAAAAAAATCGATAAAGAGAGAGAAAAAGAAAATAGAAAGAATGAGAGAGAAAGTCCTAATAAAACAAAAGAAAAGCGTGAGGTAGAAAACCGCAGAGAGTGAGAGAGAGAGAGAGAGAGAGAGAGAGAGAGAGAGAGAGAGGAGAGAGACATAGAGAGAGAGGGAGAGAGAGAATATAGTGAAAGAGAGACAGTAAAGAAAGCAAAAGAAAGAGATAATGACAAATGACGAAAGAGTAAATGATAAAGAAAGTTCGAATGAAAGGAAAAAACAAAAACCAGAAAGAAAGAAAGCCCCAAAGAGAGAGTGAAAGCAAAGGAAAGAGAAAGAGAAAAAAAAAAAGAAGGAAAGAAAGACTGAGAAAGAAAGACCCGGTAAAATAAAGGAAAAGAGAGAGATAGAAAAACACAAAGAGAAAGAAAGAAAGAAAGAAACAAAGAAAGAAAGAAGAACGAATAAAGAACGAGTGAAAGAGAAAAAGAAAGAAAGATGAGATAGAGAATTCCACTAATGCAAGAAAAGGAAAGAAAGAGAGAAGGAAAGCCGTTAAGAAATAAATGGAAATAGATAAAGAAAGAAAGAAAAAAAGAGAAAGAATGAATGAGAAAGAAATTTCTAATAAAGTAAAAAAGAAAAAGGGGGAGAGATAAATCTGCCAGTAGCCGCAAAGAGGGTGTGTTTGTGTATGTGTGTGTGTGTGTGAGAGAGAGAGAGAGAGAAAGAGAGAAAGAGAGAGAGAGAAATACAGACAGACAGACAAAATATACCATGAAGTAGAGCCTAGAATAAAGAAAAATGACCAAAAATGGCATCAAAAGGAACAGACTGTAAAAAAGTATTGGCTCGGAGACAAAACGATCAAATCTTTCCCTGAAAGCACAAATAGAAGTGGAAATTCTAGAAGACAATCTTATACATTTAAATCACGTTGATTTTCTCGTGCCTTGACTGACAAAAATCTTTAGCAGCAAGAAAATATCTCGTGCAAAACTGTCCACGGTTAATGTGGGATGACTCCGAACGCATGAAGGAAATCGCCAAGGAAATTTATGTCGATTTTCAGCTTCCATGTAAATTATTAAAACCGATAAAAGACGTTATTGATATAACCTTCGAATCGCTGTACCAGTGAAGAGAACAAGATAAAAAGAAATTAGCCTATAAACCTAAAGCGACGCCAAATTTAACTGAGATCGAAGGTGCTGTTTTTAGCGAACCGCATTTCAGTTAAAAACCATAATTTCGTCGACATTGACTATGCTTTTTCAATCAATCTTTTAAGTTGGGGTAAGGCCCGTCTAACTATATTTTTTTTTACGTTCCAGGTTTCTTCAGGACGTAGATGATCATAACCCTCCACACTTTCTTTTTCTGTATTATCCAGGAATTTTCTTGAATTCTTGGTAAAGAAAATGGAACGATTTCCAGTTGGCTTTGAATGCAGTGACTTTCTTTCTCCTAGATTGGTTGCCAATCAATGCTAGTGAGCTCAGCCTGCATCGCTATTAACCGCTATCTGAGAGAACAGATGGCTTTCTGTCTTTGCCAATGATATCTGTGCAGAAGTTAACGCAACAGACACGACCAGAATTTGAACTCTAGTCGTCAATCTCACATTCCACGTCGGCATCCTTTGCTCTACCCTCACATCTTGTATAAATTTAGTCTCTCTGCATTCTCTTCTCTCATGTGCCATGTCCCTTCAGGTCTTTGGCGATCATGGCTCTCCACAATTTCCTGTCCTTTGTAGCTCTTAATAAATTTTGTCTTTTTGTTATCTCTCTAAACCAGCCATCCGTTTACTAAATAGGTTAGGCATTGTTTTCCAATGTCACTCTTGCCTTCAATCTGTCCTGTGAATATCAGATTTTCCAAGCTTTCTTTCCTCATTATTTGCACTAGGAATTTTAACTTACTTTTCCTGATGCTAAGTTTAAGTTTCCTTTGTGTTTCCTTTTTCTCTAAAACTTTGTCGGTGCTCACATGTTTGGTCGATGGCATTCTGAGCATCCCTCTATAAAAGCACATTTCTGTTGCTTCAAATCAATTTCCTGCATTCACTGCGTTACGTGTTGATAATTGTAACAAAGGAAAAATGATTTACAACAACACAAAGCTAAATCACAAACAAATATTTAATTTAATAAAACACAACATAAAAAATATACAAGATAAACAATTGTGGCCTACAAAACAGAAAACACAGAGTTACAGGCGAAGTGTTACGAGGGAGAAGGAAAGGGAATCAAATATCTTTATCACTTTCGGGCTCGTGAAGTAATCTAAGTGCTATATTTGGAAATCCACAAAGGTGTGTAAATAAATATTCATTTTTTGTTTGGTCAATGAAAATTAGTCAAAATTCTCTTTACCAAATTTTTTCCATGAAATTCTCTTTTGGGTTTTTGTTGGTCGGTAACTTTTTATAGAGATTCTTTCGGCTGGATATAATAATCCTTGAATCAAAAGCCGGAGTTGATAACAGCAGAAATTCCCCTTCATCAACTGACAACCCTTTTCCAAAATCCCATTTTTATAGGGGCTAACACCTAATTTGCATATTTCTAGATGTTTCTCGAATCATCTAGATTTTTCTCGAATATACTAGAATAATCTAGAATCTTCCAAACATTCTATTTCTAATTTCTCTATTTTACAACTACTTCATGAATGAAAACTTTTTTGTAATAACAAGTCGATCTCAGTGGAATCCCTTATTATAGAAATGCATCCTCGTAACTACTGCAATATAGGACGATTATTAAACAAATGCGGCCAGGATCAATCAACCAGAAAAGTTCCTAGAATTTCAGAAACCTTCCACGCCAAACAAAATTCCCTTGTTAGTGAGAGTAATACTTGTCAGTTTGCTTTGGTTTGCTTTGGTTTACGGCAACAGGTTATTCAATGCCAACAAAATTTTTATTGCTGGTAATATTTTTTTTCCCCCCAAAAATGTATTGCTGGTAATATTTTCTCCAAAAATGTATAGTTGGTAATATTTTTTTCAAAAAAGTATTGCTGGTAATAATTTTTTTACAAAGTATTTCTAGTATTAAAACCTATTTTTACATTTTCATAGTGTTTTGACCCCAGTTTGGGATTACGTATTTACCCATAGCTGGAACCCTAAGAGGTACTCCCACCCCGGATCAAGGTGGACCTGGGAACATCAGCAATTAATAGGTGGTCCCACGTTCTTCAAAACCTCCTGATCAGAGTCCTTGCTGTTGGACGTATTTTATCGTCTTACCCAGGATGCGGATGTAGTTTATCGTCATACCCAGGACGCTACTTATCACACAATACCAAATACTTATCACACAATACCAATACTTATCACACAATTCCAAATACAGCACAAAACTACAATCCCATAGCAAACATCCAGCGATAAATAAACTAACAAGTGTCGGTCTACAGTAAAATTTCTGGGATGACGAGTTATCATTATTTACACAGTTTATATATCTACAATGTAGGAAAGGAGAATGACAGCAAGTCTTCAACATCAGCAGCAGCATCAATCAAAACATAGGCGGCAGCAGTCATAACATAACATTCAGCTGCAGCAGCAATTGCAACCTAATCAGCAGCTAGGTTAAAGGCTATAAGTTGACTACAGCAAATAGTCTTATGGCGTTGGTTTGTGAATTCGGCGAAATAGTTGTTGAGAGTTCAATTCCTGTGTCGGGTAGAGTGTATTTGCCCTCAGTGGAAAAGAGCGATAAATGACTATACAGCAATAAATAAAAATAAAAACTAGACGATATCCTTAGACATGAGCAGTGGAACGAGAACAAAGAACTTAGATCAAATAAAAGACTCAGCTCTGAATACACAGATGGATATATTACCTGTGAAGAACAACGGCTGAAACGTTGTGATAAAAACAACAAAGATGAGGACAATAGTCCAAATATAAATAGTGTAAATAATACTGAAATTATTCTTTTACCGAAACTGTTCTGCAAATTTGGCGGTTGTTACTAGGAATTCAAGGTTTGTACATTTGTATTCCTTATTTAATATTTTTCACTGTGCCTTGTTTCATTTACTCGTTATTAGAAATATGAAGGGTGTCACAGAACTAACTACCTATTTCAGCAAAATTGGACAGTTCTTTAAAAAAAAAAAAACTTATTTCTTTTCATCTTGTTTGGCATGTGCTAGAAGTGTATAAATTTCTAATTTTGTTTATAACTTCATCATTTTTTCTAATTTGTTCTCTAATTTTATTTTCATTCTCTTTCAGAACCTTATTAATAACTAGCGGCATGGCCCGGCGTACTTGATTCAAAAATCGTACGACACATACAGCAATCGTTATCACTTGACTTAAAATATTTTTGCCCTTCCTTACCTTTAAAGAAGTGCCCTTTGCCGTGCTCATGTTGCTACATGCCTTACTTCTTCCTTATCTCACACTGCGAATTTTTTCTAAGCTCTATACTAAACATTAAATCTGTTACGAAAAAAGAACTAAACAAAATGAACACAAAATGATAAGCTTTAAAAAAGGACTTGTAACTGGAAAAACCGAATGAAAAAAGAATGTTAACAACAAATACCTTTTCACACCCAACCCTGTTCTGCGGAATCAGAATCAACGTTGAGTTTAAGCAAGCGAATGAGCCAATTGGAGTAAAGTGCCATGCAGATTTAAATTTTTCCCACTTGTGACGAATCCAGTTATCGATTTTTTTGCATGCTAGCATGCTAGTTAACATTCGTGTCAGTCAGCTGTTGGCTCTCACGCTGGCCAATAGAATCTTCCTGCCTATTCGTGGCAGCCAGCTATAGGCTCTCTCACTCTGGCCAGTAGAAAATTGTTGCAAACAACATGAAAACTGCCGTAGAAGCATGAAAATTCGATTATTTCCACCATCGATGGGAGTTGGGAAATGCAAAGTCGGTCTTGGCCTTCCTGTTAACTTGGAGCATGTGCATGTAAATTTTGGTGCAAATCCGTCGAAAATTGCCGGCATTGCATTCACACACACACACACACACACACACACACACACACACACACACACACACACACACACACACACACACACACACATCCCCTGAATTTCTTTGCATGGGATTTAATAAAAACAAACATTTATCGTCAAAAGATCCATAGTTTAGCTGAGCTTAAAGAACACATTCAGTTAACCGTGCAGGAGATAACTCCTGAAATGCTTCAAAAAGTGTTTCGCAACGCTAAGGTTGGTTTGGTTTGGTTTTTTAAACGGCATATCAACTTCGTATGGGTCATTTAATATCAAAATTTAATTAATATTTTTTACTATCTATTCATAGAAATTTTTACTATAAAAATGTATTTTTATACTTTCATAGTGTTTTGACCCCAGTTTATGGGTTCAGTATTTGCCCATAGCTGGGACCCTAAACAGGTGCTACCACCCACTGGACCTGGAAGCAACAGCAATTAAGAGGTGGTTCCAGGCTTTTCCAAAACCTCCCGATCAGATACCTTGTTGCTGGATGTAAAATATTTTCATACCCGGATAAGGGTAGATTTGAAATTTGCCGGGATACAGACGGAGCACATGTTGAAAATTTTCAATAAAGTTTTGATGTAAGTTTTATACATTTATTTCTTTTGTATCATAATTAAGTAATAAACGTAACAGTGACTCAAGCTTTTAAAAAATTGCCAGACTTAATTGAAAAAGATATTTAATTCTGGGACACCATGTACAATTCGTAAATTTTATTTAATAAACTTCCCAAAGCGCAAAAAGTAGTGAAGCTAAAT